GAGGATGTTTTTGATCTTCTTCCCCGGGGGGGCGGTCCAGGCGAGGATGTTTTTGATCTTCTTCCCCGGGGGGGCCGTCCAGGTGAGGATGTTTTTGAAGATCAGCTGCATCTTCCTGCGCATGCTGATGTGGATTCCATTCATCAGACGATCAATACGTCTGCCAGGGAGCAGCCAACCAACTCCAGCAGCGAGAAGAGGATGTTGAACAAGGCGAAGAATCACAAGACGGGGAGCTTACAGAGTCTCGAAGGCAGTGCCTCCTTTCCACTCTCCTCCGATTAGCTGAAATTGTGACCTTACCCCAAACACAGTATTTTTTTTTTTAACTTTTTATTAGTAAACTAATAAAGGCGATCACGACAGCGAACATTCTAAGCTACCCTAGGCACACAGACGCAGGAGTTAGGGCGCAGGTCAGCAGGAGGCACACAGGGACTCGGTGTTGGAATTCACGATTGGTCCAGAATAGAAAGAAAGGTTGACTCGTGTTTGTTTGTTTGTTTGTGGGGAGACTAAAACAGTATTATCTTTTGAAAGTGATAGGGATATGCCTATCCAAATATTATCCAATCAAGATGGCTAGAATTGTAACTTTCTGGGTTTCTAAAACTTGACCTCCTCCATGAATTTTTCAGCACACTTTCCACTGCCCGCCTAATGTGGTTTTGATTCCTTTTTTAACCACTGGAACTTTTCAGTGCCATCACCTTCAATGATTTTGCACTTTGAGATCAGAATACCATGTCTGTTCGGTTAGTCTTTTTTTTTTTTCTTCCCATAGGCTTTCCATAGTCTCACTCCTTGCTCTCAGTGTGACCACGGGAAGTAGACCCCAAGAATGACACACAGTATGGATGACATATTGTTCAGCATACGCTTTTGCCAGAAGACATTGCATGCGTTTTCCTCGACTTGCTAAACTTGATTAGCAGAAAGGCATGGCTAACGATGTTGGCAGTAAAAATAAATAAATCAACAAAACCAAGATTGTCTGCTTTCTCTGTGCCTAGCCTCAAAGTGTTCATCATATGCTTCAGATTGCAAAATTTTTATTATTTTATTAACAGGATAAAAGGACTGAAGACTTTTTTTTTGCTCATCTTCGTTTTCTTGACCTGCCTAGTAAGGTCAAGTTTTGAGAAGATATGCTTAGTTTTGAATTTATATAAGAAATCTTTTTCAATAAAACAAACTCACAAATGTTTCATATTTTAAACACACCATATGTGTTATATGATCATTTTTAAGGCCTTCACCAAGTTCTGATTTTTTTAAAGACATAATTCAAGACTGCTTTTGAAATTCTGTATTCTTAAAAATATTCTTGTTATGTATTAGATTTTTAAATACCAGCAAAAGGATTACCTCATTGAGAATTATCAGTACCCTAGCCAACTTCCCAAGAAGGTTTTTTTTTAGCTTAACAGTGATTTTCTTTTTATTTTTAGATCACTCAAATGCATAGGTAAATTATGTTTTCTTTAAGTGTTTAAGGTAAACTCTTTTAAAGAAAATTTAATATGTTGTAGTTGAATCTTTGATAACTTTAAGTCTTTATCATAGACTCTGTACATATGTTAAAATTAACTAGCTCTTTATCAGATGTGTGTGTCACCAGCTGAATGACAGAAGAAACATATTTATGGTCATGAATGATGTGCTTTGTAAAAAGGTTTCAAGTTATTAGGAAGCGTACTGTGTTTTTTAATCTTGTGTAATATTCTGTGATACTTTTATAGAACAATTCTGGCTTCGGGAAAGTCTAGAAGCAATATTTCTTGAAATAAAAGGTGTTTAAATTTTACCTGTTTCAGAGACATGAGCTTATTACCAAGTTTTTTGTGCCACACCCATTCTTTGCAGGTAAAATCGAGTCCTTATGTCAGTGGACGTGGCTGAATATTCACCACATTTGTAAAACTGCCCCAAAGTCCGTGTGTTCTAGAACATGCTCAGACTGATGATTTCAGCGTGGATTTGCCTCCTTGCTTCAGGGAGCCCGTGGCAGAGACAGCACAAGACTGGCTCCCCGCCTTGGCCCCCGAGCAGTTACGTAGGGCCAGCGTTTGGCTGAATCCTTTCCTGTCACCAATGACATCTTTAAAGATTTTTGAACAAGGAATCCCACCTTCCCTCACTTCACCAGACCAACAAATTATATAGCCGGCTCTGGGCAGCGCAGACGGAGTTTTCCAAAATCAAGAGGACCAATCCACTGAAGGAAGCCCCAGTTCACTGGGGACGGGGACATGGACTTTGATCAAAGCCCAACCACCCTCCAATACCTCAAGTTTTTCCCGGCTGACAAATGCCATATACTTCTTTCCTGCTCCAGATTTCCTGAGAAGCTTTCTCTTCTGCAAGTCGAGGGGCTGACAATCTGTGAAGGTTAACAGTAAAGGGGAAGAAACAAAAACAAAGGGCTTTTTGAGTTGTGCTAACCCAGTCCTGAGAGATAATTGAGGGAACCATCTGTATTAGTTTGCGAGGGCCGCCATAACAAAATACCACAGACTGGGGGCCTTAAACAACAGACAGTTATTTTCTCACTGTTCTGGAGGCTGAAAGTCCAAGACCAAGAGGCTTTGGTTTCTTCTAAGGCCTCTCTTCTTGGCTTTCAGATGGCCACCTTCTCTGTTGTCTGTGCACGTGCAGCCCTGGGATCTCTTCTTACAAAGACACCAGTCATTTCAGATTAGGGCCCACCCTTATGACCTCATTTAACCTTAATTACCTCTGTAAAGGTCTTCTCTCCAAATACAGTCACACTGCGGGCTTAGGGCTTCAATATCTGAATTTTGAGGGGACACAATTCAGGCCATAACACCACAGATTCATCAAGAGAAGAGTTTTAGATAATAGTGTTGACCAAAGGTACATCATTTTGCCTCCCTTCTTGCTCCTTTCCTACAAAATGTGACTAAGCCAAGTATTGCTATCCTGAAGAAAATTCCATTTTAGTTCAATTCAGTAACTTTTCGGTATTTATGGAGTACTTACTATGTGCAAAGGGCATGAAAGAGACTCGGATTTTGAAGAGTACTTAGAAATTGGCTAGCCGACTGACCTTGTTTGATCTCTGAGGAGCTGATGCCCAGAGGGCTGAGCTGATTTCCCAACTGCCAATTTCCCACAGATTTCGAAGAGGAAGAGGTTTGTCAGAGGCAGGGCCAGCCCCTCTCCACTTTCTCCATTTACACACACACACTTACACACACACACACACACACACACACCACCAGATCAGGGAAGGGAGAAACCATTGTGAAACCCCATGGGGAAAGAGTAGTGGAAAGAACAATGGACATGAATTCTAAATTTTACTACCTATGAGCTGGGGAAAGTCACATAACCTCTCCTTGAATGTGAAATAAGAGGTATGACTCGAGGATGACAAATACAACACATCTGTGCTTTCTTTTCCTAAAACGTGCCCAGGGGAGACGTTGCTAATGCACGAGGACACTGCTGCATGAAGCCGGAGCACTTCACCCTTAAACTCCTTCTCAATGCAGCCAGCTACACTGTTGAGTTGGTATTGGAGTGTAAGACACAAACCTACTTACCATACCCAAACGACATAATATCTGAGGCTCCTCCGAGCCTTCTTTAAAAAAAATAAAATAACCCTATCTGCAGGGTTTTTGGTTAAGAGAGAAGGAATGAAGACTTAACACTCCCACCCCATGCCAAATGTACCTAAACATGTTGCTCTTCTAAGAAAAGATTTTTAAATGCCTATTGTCCAGAACTTGCTTTAGAGCTACTGTGATCTCAGCTATAAGAAGGTCCTCAATTCCCCCAATTAATCCAATTCTGCTTGATATTTTCAAATTTTATTTGCTTGCTATTTCCAAAATGTATTTGGAAAATATTTTCAATATTTTCAAAATTTATTTTAATAGAAAACAAAAGATCTTAGAGCAATTAACAACTTGGTGTGGTCCACCACCTGGTTCATTTAAGCCCTCACAACCTCTCCTCGAAGCTGCTGGGAAAGTTGTAATCACACCCTAAGCCCCTTCCCCTCCAGCCCCACTCCATCTCATCCCGCACTTGCTGTCTTTCATCACCAGGCTCAGACCTCAGCCTCCTGCTCAGAAATCTTTGGTGATTTTTAACACCCCCCCACACACACACACACACTAGAAGCTCTAGCCTTCCATCCACCCATGTGCTCCCCTTTCCCCTCGCCTGTCACTACCAGCTTCCCCTGGATTAGCGCCACCTTCCTAAGTCTGAATTCCCCATCCCAACCTGTAAAAATCTCATCCATTCTCCAATTCCCGTATTTTTTTTCCCTTTTACCTTATCAAACTTTATCTTTTCTTTCTATGTAAACTTCCCTCAACTCCCCCACCCCTTGGACAGAGTAGCTCGGCCATTTTTCCTTTACTTTCCCCCAAGTAAGAGAACACTGATGGTGTGCCAAGTCTGAGGCCAATGGAGTGAAAGTGACCGGCCACATTCATGACCTTGCCTCTTGTCCCATTTCTGACCAAGAGACCTACCTAATGCAACTATTGTCCATACTGGTCTAATTAACTCAGCTTCCTCTGAGCTGTGTTGTTGATGCTGAGGACTTCAGCAACACAGTACCTAGGGCCTTAGAGTGAGCCCACTATTGTATAAAATAAGCAGAGAAAATGGCTTCCAAAAAGCAGATATTTCCTGTTGAGACTAGGGAGTACCCTGCTCCCTGATGTCAGGGAAAGCACTGCAGAGGGTTGGGGGACAAAGGGAGCTACAAATGTTGAGGTCTTTTGTGCTGAGCGTTGCCTCACTTTTCTGCTAGCAAACGCACTTAAGTGGTGGACAAAGGTATCTACCTTTGTCTATTCTGAATTTCTAGCCCCTGCACCAGTGTGCCTCCCAGGACTCAAGAATTCAGAATCTGTGTCTTCTACCCCCAGTCCTCCTCCCCGATACCCTACCTCCAGCGCCAACGACACAGATGACCCAGAGCCAGAATGGAACCAATCCAATTACTAATGGGTTTCAGCAGAAGAGGAGATGTCATTGCCACCCTAATACGAATCTGGTCCCAAAAAGCCCCATTACAACTCAAGCCCAGGAACCGGAAGGGATGAGAGGTCAGTAAAGCATGTAATTTCCACAATTACCATTAGGTGTCACTCTAGCGCAACTCATGACATCTTTCTTTCCACCCCTCGCAAAGCTGCCACTTCATTGATCTCTGAAGTAGCAGCACTGGGTTTAGACAAGAACACGGCTAAACAGTTGATCCATGGCAGGCTTGCTCTTTCTTTGATGCTCAGGATCTTAGCCATTCCAGTAGACCAAAAAAGGGTTTTAGCTTTCTACTGATGTATATTGGTATTATGAGTTGGAACTGCATCAGACTTTGACGTTTAAATACAAAAGTGAGTACCAAATATCGATCTCCTTGCTTTCCAATGACTTTTTGCAATTAAAAATGTTTTTTTGCGCTCAGGCCACGCCAAAGCTACGGAGGCCATCTTCACTGAGCTGGCAATTTTTAAAAGAAGAAAAGAACTAGATGCTTTTTAACAGCTCTTAAAATGCTGAGGTTGTACCAAGTCTGGGGCTAATACAAGGAAGATAAGTGGCCACATTCATAACCTTTCCTCTCTCCCCATTTCTTAAAAAGAAACTTTCTGGTGTGTCTTTTTCAAAAAGCCCAATATACGGAATGATTCTGCCTCTCCTTTGAATGTGTGGGATATTTAAGAGAGTTGAGTGAAATCTCTAAATTGCCTAAATTGCACCCATTGATGAAGAGAAGAAGGTAGACTGGGGAAGAGGGTAGTATCTGCCCTTTGTATAAATGGCTTCCACAATGAATGAACAAGGTCCTGGAGGAAAATAAGGGTTTATCCAGAAACCAGCAAAGACACACACACGGCCCCCAGTAACTCCTGTATCTTGGGCCATTGTGACCCTTTAGTTGAGCTGTGCAGGAGGAGTGACTGAGTGAGAAATGGAAATCAATTGCCCTGCTTTACACCTATGAGTGCTCCAGGCAAGGTTCTAAAAATAACCACTTTGTGCTCCAGTCCATGAGTCATGCTGTTATTTCCAGAGCTCCTTTGCCTCCCTCTTCCTCTCACCCAAAAGTTTTGGATGCCTTAGCAAACTCTGCTGTCCATCAGAAGAGATCTCAGAGACAAACTAATTTCAAGCCAACACACTTTATTCCTTTTTTTTTTTTACTTTTTTTTCTTAATTTTCAATGATCAAGTATTCAAGATGTTGTAAACCAAGGTTTATTAGTACATTGACAAGAGATTTCATTAAACACAAGGAAATTGAACATCTTTTAAATTACCCTAAGAAGTCTCCAAATAAATAGTCATTGTAAAAATCACAAAATCAAACTCCTTTATGTAACAATTCAAAACGGCCTTTCATCACCAACACAATTTCACACAACACACACACACCGAACACACACTCCACCAGGATCCTAATGCCAATTTATTTGACACAGTATTACATCTCCTTTAACTGAAAAGTTAGAGGCGGACTTGCCTATTTCATGCTTCTAAATTAACATTTGGGGTTTTGGGTAGAGGTATGTATTTTAAGAAAAATGCCCACTATAGAGTCTTATTATTCTGATTTTTCATTTCTAGATACAAAGTTTAAACTCTGTTTGTTCAACCCTTTGGTTTAATATGTCCCTGCAATGACTTTAGTTTGGGATATTTTCTCCTCTGATTTTAGCATGTAATAGAATACCAGAGAAAGACAACACCTTCCAAACCCCAATTACAAAAACACTTCACAAGGGTGTCAGTTTTTTGGAGAAGAAATAAGAAAAGATTATGTGAACTCATTTTCCCCTCTCTCCGAAATTATTTGTAGCATCTGATTATTCTTGCTAAAAGAAATATCAAAAGCACTGAGTTTTCCACAGAAAAGGTACTCTTCCTTACAGTCTTCATGTTTGCAGCGTAAAGTTCATGGATTAACTGTAGTAATGAGAATAATGAGTGCTTGTTTTCTGGGAAGCTCTCTAGATTTCCAAAAGCAAAGCACATGTAGTCCCTTGCCAGTGAAACACTGTAAATTCAGTGGCGCATTTTTGTGGCGAGCATGCATCATCAAATACTTTTAGCACCGAGGCATTTTTTTTTTTTTAATGTTGCAAAAGCAAATACCCATGGAGGGTTTTCATCATATTTGACCCTTCTTAGGGCTGAGTAAAAATGAAGTGCTTAAAAGAACCTGTTCAAACATAACACAGATCTGATTCCAATGTAGCAAGAAGCCTGGGACAGACACAGCCAGCAGCGTCCTGGAAGATGGGGAGAGGAGAGAAAACGGAAAAGATAAAGTGCACAAGACTACTACCTTCACCTGCCTGCCACGGCACGCCCTTCTATGCCAGGAAAGAGGAATTACAAGCAACGTGGAGAGGCTACCTGTGGTCTGGAGAACAGAACTAGCAAACCTGCAGTCTAGGCAATTCTGGGATTATACAGTATTTTGGTATCTATCTGCTACTTAGAAAACTCCAGATGCACCTCTATAGCAATAGTTAGACTTGTGTTTCGGCACCATCGAGGATGTTTGAAGTCCACACGGGCTAAAAGTATAATTGGCTGCCCACCACCCCACGCCCCCCGCCCCGAGACTTGGGCTCTCCTACTGCTCCTGGGCACACCCGAGAATTTCCACAAATGCTTCAGGTCCATTCCAAAACCATGCAGCTGCTCTTTGGTTGATGCAAAACAGGCTCCAAAAAGAAACTTTCTGGTTCCACGTCCACCAAAGAATGCAAGCTGGAATTACAGATGGAGGAAGAATTGTCTTGGTAGTTTGGTGAAAATGCAGGACGGTCATTATGACTTGCTCCTTCTCTGACGGCTGCGTCCCCAAGTGCATGCTCCCGGTTGTGACCACAGGGCAGCTACTGCAGCAACCATCCCACCAGCTGTTTGGTACATGACATGTAACGTTTTGTCTACGCTCGTTTAACATGGAACACTTTGTGTATGTTCATTTGAAACTTTTATTTAGGAAACTTAAAACCCATATTCACTAAAAATTAATGGAAATGTTAACATTCTGAAAGAGGAAAACACGAAACAGAAAGCATACACTTAAAATCCCCAGAGCTCAGATTCAATAAATCTGAACCACATTTCCTCATGATTCGTTTCAGAAATTCTACTGAGACTCAATGCTAACATCAAAATTGGATTTGTTCTATATTAAATATGAACTATAAATAAATCCTTGAGGTATGTTATGACAACTTTGAATATAACGCTTAGCTAAATAAATGTAAATTTACCTCGAAAATCTAAACATTAAATTTTGATGTTTCCTACAGATTCTTTTTCTATTCTACACAAAGGAATAATAACTTCTCTACTCTTCAGGAACAGTAACACAGCAAAAAATGAAATGCTTTACCTCGCTAAATTATAGTCACACTTGTCTTTGTTAACCAAAACCATTTTAGGCATTATATAGTGCAAGAAGCGAGCGATGGAGACAGAAACCCGCTTCTGAACCCTAACTTGGCCACTCTGTACAATCCTAAACAAATCTCTTTACCTCTCTGAGCCTCAGTTTTCATGATCTGTTTAAAAAAAAAAAAAACAGAATAAAAATAGTTATCTTGCAAAGTTATTAACAGTATTAAAATAAATGATGTATATTAAGTGCTTGACAAAATTCTCTGAAATAGTCACACTCCACAAAAGATAATTTGTTTCTTCTCTGCTCCTCCTTCTCCCCCAACTTAGTTCTGAATGACTTTTGAATGTTTTCAAGAATTAAATCTACCTACAAAGGATAAGGACTTCATACTAATGAAGATAACAAAAAATGTGCTCCAACCACCTACCTTCCCCCAGGGTGTTTCTAAATTAATAGGCTAGACTCATAGATATTATATTTGCATATTAAAGCCAAATAATACGTTATAATCTACAGAGTTGATAAAAGAACAAGGTGACCTTTTTTTCCAAAACAAGTAATTAGAGGCCTAAGTTCATGGAGAGTAGGAATTAAACTTACAATAGTTATACATTATTAATACATTAATCTACAGAGTTGATAAAAGAACAAGGTGACCTTTTTTCCAAAACAAGTAACTAGAAGCCTAAGTTCATGGAAGTGGGAATTAAACTTATAATAGGAGCTGTGACCATGAAGTAACAAACATATAAGAACCTCATATCTACAATTAAATGGTGCCATTTATAAAACAGTCACTTTAGTTGACTACGTAATATTCCAAGGATACTGCCAGGACCCAAAGCATTTTGGGGACAATTCTTAATTGGTACGTATTCTAAAACTTCAGTCTTCTGTGATTTTTCACTACTTATTCTACATGAACCAACAACACATTAATGATACACCCACTATTTGTAAGTATCACATACTTGAGGAAGTACAATATTAACAATTGTGGTGTACAATTCAGGCCAATTTCTTTGAATTTTGGCAGGTCAACCTAAAGACTTTCACAGAGCAGCAGATGGTAATTGGCTAAAATAGTGCCTGATAGAGAACTGGTCGATGGTTGCTGAACTGGATGGATGACTGTTCAGGGTAGAGAAAGGGGACTGTCTAATTATATGTGAAGAGTCTGTCACTTCCTACCCTGGAGTTCTGAAAGCAGCTCCTTTTCAAAATATACTACCAAGAAGAGAGAGATTCTAAGAGTGTTGGAACATACACTCTTAGCTTAAAAAAAAAAAAAAAAAGGTGTTAATCCCACCCAAATTCTCTCAATGCAGTTCTTTGGCAATTAGAGGGGAATTAAGAAAATACCACCTCTCCCCATCCTGTATATCTTTAGCTCCAACACAAAAGGAAACTTTCTAAAGGATCTAAAGGATCAAAGATCTCCCATAAAGAGTAAAAGGGAACCCTGAGGCAGCAGAGTAGACACTAAATTAATCAACAATATTCTCTGAAGACCTTCAATATATACCAAATGGAGGGAAGTTGGACAGACACCAGAGTAATTAGAGGCAATAGCAGACTTATGACTCAGCCAAATGAGACCACTCCAACGGAAGTCCTTGTTACCTGTCCACTGGCTCAACCCCTTACAGACATTATTCAGTCTAATAGCGATAACCCTCTCCACAAACTGCATGCCACCAAAAGAACCATTCGACAATACCGTTCTTAGGTGGAGAGGAAAACAACCTTGAACTGTTCACATAACTCCACCAGTGTCTCCAAGGACGAAGGGCAAAAAGCCTGTATCATGGGGCAGTTCCGTCAGTCATGACCCCTCTGTGGAAGAGAGTAAGCCAGCTAAGGAAATCAGTTCCCAAATTAGCCCCTACGTAAGCATAGGCTCCTTGGCAGAAACTGTTCACAATTACATTGGTATTTGGACCTTACAGTCCCTCCGAAGTCCGGGTTGTCAAGGATTCTTTTTCTGAGCAGCCAAGATGTCAGGAGGTAACCTGCTATCAGTCCAGAGTGCAGTCGGGAAGCATCTACCTTCAGAATCATGGAGAAAGCATTCTGTGTGGCACCTGAGTCAAAGGGATGTGCTGGGAGGAACTGAAAAGGATGATGGATAATGAACCCAAAGAGCATTTAGGAACAGAAAAATCCTCTCGCAGAATTGCTTCGGGAAGGTTAACAGGAGGAAGGAATCAAAGAGAGAAGCAAAATTGTTCTAACTCTGATAAAGTGGAATTCAGTATGACAGGCAAGTTGATTTTAAATAATTTTCAGTCATGACTTAGGATCGTACTCCGATAGCTCACAGATCTCCCTCCTCCTGTATTCAGAGTGATTTTCACATCACAGGTATAGGTTTCCTGATTTAATTACTCAACTTCAGGGGGCAACCACGGCAATTTTCTGTACATAAGAAAGAAAACGATACAGATTTGCTGTTTCCAGGCGTATAACTAAAGCGATCAGATGGGACTCAATCTTACCTCTGTGGAATTTCTTTTTCCAACTATTTTGAGTGTCAAGGTTACAATTCTTAGCTACCCTTGTGTGGGCCCATGAGAGCTAAAAGAATTTCTGCAGCATTTTTCTTTGGATGAGAAAGCCATCAGTTTCTCTCTTTATGATGCATCTCAAATTAGGTTCTAGCCATATTGTTTAGCACACTAGTTTTAAAGCCCCTGGCAAAAGAATACTGGAGTTTATGTTCAAGCTATCAGATTTTATGATTCAGCAGACTCTTTACCTTATAATGGGGCAGACAGACTAAAAGAGAATGTGTCTTATGAAATAAAGTAGCTGTTCCTTTTGTCACACTATGCATATGATTCCTTTGAAGCATTTGAAAAATTCTACCTGATTTATAACTCTGCTATGGCTTAAAACGCTATTAACAGTACTTTAGGGAAAGTTTATTGTCCTCTTTTCAAAACGTATCTGCTTTAGTCTCTTGAAAGAAAAAGTAACATGCTGCACTTACATTTTCCCAATCAAAATTGCATAGTTGAGGCAAATTCATTTGTGCTTTGTAGCGGAACTCACAGTAGGTGTTCATATCTAAAAACTCTGATTTGTAAATGCAAAGTCATGGTCAAGCTCACCTTTGTTTGGAGTGTATGGTAATGATATGTACCTCTAGGACACTTCCCGTGATTTTCTTAACCAGGCACCTCTCAGCCTTATACCACAATGGAGCACGAGCATGAAATTAACATAGCGGAAATGGTAACAAATCTATCTAAACTCCTCCTTCTTGGAGAGAAGGGGGGCAAAGGCTCTCAGTCTTGTTGAGGTATCCAGCCCTCAGTCAATAGTGGCTGTGTATACTGAGTTTTGTCGGTTTGAGGATTGTGTCTTTAGAGGTTAAAAAAAGAGAGAAAGAAAAGAAGGCACGGGTGTTTCTCAAGTTGCCATATTCAACTCAACCAACAAAACTAAAGTCTTCCATTTTCAAGCTTCAGGAGGGAGGCTACATGGCAGTAGGGCTTTCTTCCAGCCCCGGCTCTGGGGAGGAGCTTATTGCTTCGGGGAAGGGCCCCGGATAGGTCTGTGCTATGTACTGGATCCCTTTCTGCAGACCAGTCTCTTCGTGGAAATCCCCCTGGCTGCTGAAAGCTGGACAAGATCTAGTCCGGGCACCCTTACTGGTGTTTTCAGTGTGGCCCACCAACTCGCTCACTGTGCTCAAAGGAAATTCTCTCCACCTCTGCCTCTGCAGCTCGTCCTCCTTGTATTTAATGGAGTACCAGGCCAGAAAAATAAAAATGAAGCCAACAAATTTGAGGCCGGCCGCCAAACCAAAGTAGACAAAACGAAATGATGTCACGTTGTACTCCCAGCAAGAGCCTTGCACTCCACATTCCTGTTGCCAGAGCATGCAGGTGGTGTCAATAACTGCTCCAAAGTAAATTGGAGTAGGAATGTATGCTAGCGTTGTAGAGAAAAAGAAAAAGAACAATGGTTAGCCTGTCTTATCAGAGAAAACAGATTTTGTAAATCAGAACCCTCTAGAACCAGTGGAGGGCAGTGGTTTTCTTGTGTTACTTCACTATTTTAAATCTGTCACATCTTATCATAATATATTTATTATAAAAACGTTCACTAAGTTATAAATACTTTAAACCTTTCAGTTTGCAACTCGGTCAGAATACGCTATTGATTTCAAGATTGTAAAAATGTCGATTGCTTAAAAATTCAATTAGGCAATCCTTTTAAACTTAAAAATCAAATTTTGCCATTAAATACTCAAGAGGCTATACGACCCTTTATGAACCACTAAAATTCAGTATACTTAGTTCTTATGGGTTGGGTTCTAGTCCTCAGGTGCAGGAAGAGTATGAGGAAAACACTGTCCCCTCTAAGCCAGAAACCACATCAAATGGCAAACTGTATAAAGACATTTGGGGCATAGAAATAACTAAGGCAGAAAATTCATCTTTGAAGCTTGTGAAACATCTGCGATGAGTAGTAGCTTCATTGTCTGGGCTATGAGATAGATATTTCTTTACTCCCGTAAGAAAGAAAGTCTACCCAAGTAGACTTCCTTCACCATATGTTACTCCCTTTGCTGAAATGTGTCCCCATTCCCAAAATTGTTCACCTTGCAATTATCTACCCCTCCTTTAAATTCCTCACTTACTCAGATGCCACTTTATTCCCACTGCATTTTGTATACACCTTCATTGTATCAACTATCACGTAGCATTGAAAGTGTTTGCAGATTTGTCACCCATAAGCTCCTTGATGGCAGAGGCCATGCCTTTTATTCCTTGCGTCCCAAGGACCCCTCAGGACAGCCCGTGGAGCCTCAATAAGAGTTTATAAAAGGAAGTGATAGGAAGGAACAAGGGAGAAAAGGAGGAAGAAAAGAAGAGAGGAAGGAAGGGAAGACAGTGGGCTAAGTGATGTATTTTTAAATATATATTTTTT